TACCTCTTAACTATGTGCATATATGAAACTTTATTTATAGCTTTTTTGGCTGACCTTCCAGTTTGAATGGAGATCAATAAGACTAGCTGTGCAGGACATGCATGTCTTTATTAGTACCTGCTCATCAATCAAAATATACCAAACCTACTGAAATCTGTCATCCATGTAGAAGTAGCAAAGTACTCCTACCCCTTCTTTATTAATCTATTCTAGCAGTTGATTTAATCCTGTGTAAATGATCACTATTATGTTAAATAGTCACAAATGTTTCCTTTAATCCTGTGTAATATCCAGCACGGGGGGCAATCCATGTCAGGGCTATAGAGCATTTTTGTCTCTGAAAAGTGATGAAATGTAATCTAACATGGACTTATTTTTTTTATTTGTATTGCTGCAGCTTTATATATTGGGACTTATCTAACATGGACGCACCAGTCGAGTATATCGCTCCAATATTTCCGTTTTTCTGTTTTTATCGATATATTCTTGCACGATTCAATACGCCAGTCGAGTTTACCGTTCCGCTATTTTTCTGTTTTTTCCTTTTTTTTTTATCGATATATACTTGCACGATTCAAAACGACAGTAGAGTATATCGTTCCGCTATTTTTCCGTTTTTTGTTTACAGATAAAAAGGATGGACAGGTACCGATCTCATTTTCATTCTTCATAATCTCCTTTCTCCCCGATCTCATCTTCCTCCGTGTGCATCTCTTACTCCGTCAATCTCATCTTCCTCCGTGTTTGCAATATGTCTGGTTCCTCAGTGTATCCCGAAGCAGATTCCGCCGTTCAGGTATATCCCGAAGCAGAGGTGAGTGCATGTTCATGTATACACTCGGTTACTAGTTGCCAGCAATGGTCTATGAGTACTTCGGTTACTGCACATCTTATGATGCCTTGATGTTATCTTATTTCTTTTCCCTATGAATGGATCTCCTCTCTTTGCATTGCGTGTACTGTATCTTAGATTCATTGGTTGGGTCCAACGCACTTTCCCCGGCCTTTATTTAGCTCGGATCCTGTTTACACTGTTTTCAAGCAATCAATCATGGCACTTAATCACCAAATTAAAATAGATCGATAAACCCTGATTACATATGCGACTTAATCACCAAATTAAAACAAATATGTAAACCCTGATTACATATGCGATCGACTTTTGGTCCTAGTCATCTGGTTGTCACTTAATTGTTTACGATTTGGGGATAATTTTCTTTTCTAATTCATTAGCGATGAGAGTGCTGTACATTGTTGAGAGACTATCATTAACATTTGTTGCACTGGCAATTCGCTCAAGTATATCGACATATTATGTTATTTCAACTGAGTAATATTTCAACTGACTCAAACACTTGCACGAATAACCTAAACTTTGACCACAATTTTCTTAACCATTAGTCCACACAAAATGTTTGTTGTGAAACTAATTTGCTATTTGTCCACGTTTGACTTTTTTAACGAAATTTTGGTGTATTTTAAGTTTTTATTTTATTTTTTTCATTTAGGAATAACCTAGATTATAGTATGTTGTTTCGTCATGGGATGACGATCCTTTATCCAAAACCCCCTTTAAGAAATCCATCGCCTTTTCTGTCTGCTCAGGGTTCCTAGCAGCCTCAAAGAAAGCATCACTACCCAGATTTCGGAGGCTACGATAACGAACCATGTGTTCAGACCACACATTAGGATCGGTATTCCTGTATGACCTAAATGCCGCCTTTGCTCCCATTGTCCACCTATCCATGACACAACAACGAGGGATGGTGTCAAGACCAAGGAACTTGAGTACAACAAAAATGTGTGAGCAAGGGATGTCTTCGCACTCCATCTTTCAACAGTGACATTCCACACCTTCCAAAGCCTGGCCTCTAAAAGTAACCCTCACTTCATCCCACACCTCATTATCGTCCTTCAAACCAACAGCATACAGTGACGAACCATCTTGATTAGTCCCACTGATGACTTCAAGTCCAGCAATTAGCCGTATCTGTGCACGGACTTTCTTGAACACGACTGCTGTGTATATACGGGCAGCGTATTTCTCCAATGGGTCAGCGTCTATTCTACAAAAAGGGACCGAATTGATAGACTTAGCGTCCAACTGAGCCTCCTTCTTACGCAGACGTTGTATGCACAACTTAACATGTTTGACTAAGTACATTAGTGACATGTTTCTCTTCAGAAGGGTGTGAAGCTTTGAGTTTAGTGAGTCACTACGTTGGTTGCTGCGCATAACCAACAAGTATTTCCCATCTGTATAGGCAGCTGCCCACTTCTCCCTTAGTCGGTACATCAGAGCGATCCATTGACCATTCCTCGTGCCTCCATTCTCCTTAAATTCAGCCCAACGTCTCTCGAACTCATCCTCATCCATACTCTCATAAATTAATTTTCTTAGCTCATCGAGTTTTGGCTTACGAAGGTGACGACTCATATTCTCCTCTATATGCCAAGTACACAATCTATGGTAAGCACCCGGCATTACCTTATTGATAGCCTTCGCCATTGCTAGGTCGCCATTGGTAATTAATGATTTTGGATGCACTTGACGCATTGCCTCCAAAAAAGTCTCAAGGAGCCAACAGTAAGAGTTGACAGTCTCATTGGATAGAATTCTGCACCCAAAAATTGTTGTACTTCTATGGTGGTTAACTCCTATGTAAGGAATGAAAAGGAAGATTGTACTTGTTCACACGGTAAGTGCTATCGAAAATAACGACACCACCAAAAGCAGCATAGTCTAAACGTGATTCAACATCTGCCCAAAACACATTCCTAAGACGCCCTCCCTCATCCGTGGTGTATTTGAAGAAAAAATCTATATCTTCTTTTTGCTTCCTTGTTAGATATTTCAACACATCTTCAGCATCACGACCCTTGATATTCTTCATCTCATACCGAGTAAAGAAATTATAAAGGTCCTTCCTCACAAAACCAACCTCGTCTGACTCATCGTGGTTATTCTCCATAACCTCCATGATTTGAAAGGGTCTAAGGCCACTCATGCGAAGCTCAACCGCTTGGGCTTTCTTAGAATCACTCATCACACGATGAACTCCTAAAAAAGCAACATGGTAAGGATTTGCAAGTTCGTGCGTATGTTGGTTATCAAACTCCTGAACAAACCACACACCCTTCTCCTCGTTCCAGTCAATCTCAATCTTAGCTAAGTAACCACAGCGGATCAGTGCCCGTGGCTCCCTTTTCTGGTCTGTCCTCTCAAAGTGCTTCAACTCTCTTCACATGAGCATACGAATTGCCTCCATATAATCTCAGCGTCCTTCCGCTTCAAGTTGTTTTTTCTCACACTGAAACTCTTCCCCTTTGCATAGTCTAAATAGAATTTGTAACTTTCCTCCTCGCTTGAAAAAACCACAGTACCTATCATTTTATACTCTTCCTGATCCTCTAGGCTCACATAGCTCGAAGACATTATGTCAAACCTCACCTACGGAAAAGTAAAAAAACAAACAGAAAAAGCACCCAAATATAAGCTTATGTCCTTTATACCTCATAAGTATAAAAAAAAGAACAACCATCAACTGCATAAATACATTGCCACTCTAGAACAATTACTATAGTTCCCCCACAATGGCTGCAAATTCTGTATGTACGATAAAAGAACTAAGGCAAGCACTAATAAATTAATTCAATGTACTACTAGTAGTACTGATGAACTATCTGGAAATGCTGGATGCTTTAACCAGTTGACAAGGCAAGCATTTGGGAGAAAAGATCAAATATCAATTGCACAAGATATGATTTAACTTCTCACCTTTGCTGAGGTTAATTGCTGGACTTACATCAGTAACACATCAATTGCTGCAAACTGTTTTGAGAGGAATTTCAAGTGACAGGTGTATTTTATTTGCATCTCGAGACCAAAATTATTGTTCAGTTTTATTTCAAAAAAATATTGCTGTTCAGTTTCACCGTTCATGCTTACAACTCAACATACAAAATCGATTTAATAAATCTCCTATTCGATTTAACATCAGCTAATGTAGATTCTCTAGTATAGTTACAAGCTAGTATACACAGCCATTTACAAGCAAGTATATGCATTTATAAAGGAAAAATTCAGACAAGTTCACCACTAAGGAGAGGAAGGGGAACATAAAGTCAGGTTGGGGGGGCATGGGAGGAGTGGATACCTGATGATTTCCCCGCGCCCAGCCGCTGGCAGCGCCGCCGGCCGCGCCGCCGCCTGCCGGTGCCTGCCTCCGACCAGATGCGAACCGAAGGGGGAGGGGGGAGAGGGCCGGGCCGACGGACGGCAACGGAAGGGGTGAGGGAGACGTACGGCGACGGAGGGAGAGGAGACAGCGGCGAGGGCAGGGAGGGCGGGGGAGGCGGACGGCGACGGAGGGGGGCGGAGAAGGCGACGCGGGCAGAGGAGACGGACGGCGACTGAGAAGGCGGACAAGGCGGCGACAGCGAGCGAATACGGACGGCGACGGATGCGGGCAAGGCGGCGAGGCCAGGGAAGGAATAGCTTGACGGAGTCCACACCTGCGATGCGAACCGAACAAAACATCCCATACCAAAATTACCCCTAAAGGATATTAGAAGATTACTTACCTACCATTTAAAATAAACGGTCCAGATTAATTCTACTCGGAGTAGAATACTTCAAGTATATTGCACCGGAGCATCGCTGGTTTACATAGAGATAGGATATCTATGTGTGCTTATGGAGGTGAGTATGCACGTATATATATAATCGTCAATGTTTGCCACAACAATTATATTTACCGCTACGCATTTTTTTCTTAGTTTTTATAAACTCCCAGCCTCTACGGAGATGCACACGACTGCCCGTTACATTTATAAGATGAACACTGTTGTGGTAAACTAATTAATCTTGGACTCTGCTAGAACCTAACACGAAACAAAATAGAACTCTAATGCCAGGTCACCCGTGATAGTTTGTGGTACCATTGCCACCTACCTTTAAGTCATATCTGGGGAGAAGACCCAACAAAAACTTGTCACCAGATGGTGCATCATCTACCCTTATTTTAATCACTTGGTGATGCCTAATGACACCCACACATAATTCCTAATTTTCCTGAAGAAAAAGAGGAGCAAAAGACTTAAGTTGGAGCCATAAAGAGGAACAGGAATGCAAGCATCTTAATTGAGGCATCTCTCCTTGTCTCCCTATTGGAGCCTTGGAAAAGCTTCCCTCACCTGTAGCCTGAATTTTAGCCTCTCTCTCCATCTGCAGTTAACATATATACAAACCTGGCTTTGCAAGAATCCTTTTTTGTGAGGCTTGCTGCCAATTTGAGGGCTCAAAGTAGTGCTCCATCCAACTAAAGGTATCATCAAAGGTTCTAGCTTATCTCTCTCTCTCTCTCTCTCTCTCTTGCTTACTTATGCCTCTCTCATGTTCTTTGATACATCTTAATTGGTTTATGAAAAAAAAGCCATCCTCTTCAATTCTTCATCATCATGCTAGCTAGCTAGGATCATAATAGCATGATTTGAGCAATTGAGTGTGCTAATTCATCTTGTATGCTTCTTGTTTATTTTCTCCTTTCATTTCAGGTTTTGGAGGTAATCAGATTCAGAGCAAAGGGAAGAACAGCTAAATAGAACAGAAGAAATGGCTAGGAGGAAGAGCAATCCCCACAAAGGAAGAGGAGATGAGGAGTACCCCATGGTGGCATATGCTTGCTGCCCCTGCTATGTGCTCAGCTCTGTCATCAGAGGGATTGGGAGGTGCCTCTTTGTGGCCTGCTACCCTGCCATACAATGCTGTGGCCTTGATGAGTGCAGGCACCACCACACCACCACCCAGCTCAGCCACTTCAGATGACCACAGCAATAATTCCATCCATTAAGTATGGCATCTCAATCATCACCAATTCTTTCTTCTCTTCTTTCTCACACACTGGGGTTCAGTAATCATATGGAGTTCTTGATTAAAGAGAGCTGTCCATATTTGATTTCATACATGATGAAAGTCCTTTTGCTGGTTTTGCTGTAATTTTTCCAGTAGAAAGAAAGGCGTGTTGCCCTAAACCAATAGGAGTTAGAAGAGTAAATGAGAAGAATTACATGTTCTAATAAGCTATTTTGTCTCTTACAAGTTATTCAGAAAGTGGTTCTACGGTTGGTGGCTCGTAGCTACTTTTTTCTGATAATATTGCGAGTGTGCGTGCTGACAGATACGATGTATATATGATACTATAATTATATTACTAAATTATAATGTCACAATTGTAAAATTGAAAAATATGGTTATAGCCTGTTAGGATCGATATCGATCTAAACCTAACGGTTACCATCCTGACAATATAGGATTTGGTATTTTGGTATGCGTTTTTAGCTACTGAACATGTCCTGGTCAACAGAAGAAACGTGTGCGTCTACTGCCTACTCCCTCTGTCCCAAAATAAGTGCAGTTTTACACTATTCACGTTCAACGTTGGACCGTTCGTCTTATTTAAAAAAATTTTATGATTAGTATTTTTATTGCTATTAGATGATAAAACATGAATAGTACTTTATGCGTGACTAAATATTTTTAAATTTTTCATAAATTTTTCAAATAAGACGGAAGGTCAAACGTTAAGCACGGATATCCACGGCTACACTTATTTTGGGACAAGTAGTACTTGGTAGGCAATTGGCATGTTCAGAGTTTCAGCAGGTGAGGGTGTCACGCAACAGAAGAGATTTCAGAGTCCTAACTTTCAGAGAACCCTTCTTATGCTGTCATTGAGCTGGAGTTTTGTTGTTGACATCCTGTATATATAGACTAATCAAAATCAAGGAAATGGCCATGACTAAAGCAATATGGACTGTGGAAATAGATAGGAAATCCATTTCCACTCTGAATTTTTCAAGGCTCTCAGAAAGCACAACAGTGTCTGGCTGGCGGATTTTCTATCTTAATCCCCTACATGCTTTGCATATATATTTGAAGTATAAATAATTTGTCCAATTCTTCACATCGGCATTGTTTGATTGATAAATGGAGATCATTGGATTAGACTTAGTCCTCTGGTATTGAAAGCTAAAAGGCCCAAGGAGTCAAGGAGAGATTTGGAGTACAGAAGAGAAACCATCTTATGTTTTTAACTTTTGAAGTAGTCATTTTCTGGGGGAGTTCCCTTTTCTTTTCTTTTCTTTTTTTTTTTTGGTTTTGAAAGATCGTTCTGGGGGAGTTCCTGCTCCTCATAATTTTCGCATGGTAGTGTGCTCTTGACTTTGCATGCTTGTCAAGTTGTGAGTTGTGACCAATTCACATCAGCAGCATTTGTCTCATTAGTTGTTCACAATATTGTCAGTTGTGCACTTGTGGGATGTTACAGTTAAAATATGTCTAATTGACAATATTTCTAAAGTGTCAATTGTGCGATGTTTGTAAGTTCTGTCTTACTACAACATTTCTACTAAATGAAATAAACTAACGGTGGTTTGTGGTGAACTTGCTACCCTCACCACCTCTTTAGTTGATGTCTTTTTTGGGGAAGACATGTAATTTTTTGTGCATTTGCCATAATAGCGTGTTATTCATGAATTTTTGGTTGAGAAGTATATATGATTTCTCCTAGAAATTATATAAAACTTGTCAAATTTAAATTTTATAATATATTTCTTAAAATCCATTGCAATGCATGGATATTTGGCTAGTTGAATCGTGATGAACATATTCTGAGAAAAACCGTAATTTCTGTAAAATCAACGGGGTTCAATCAGAAAACTGAAAGTAGAAACATGATTAGATATGCTCATAATAGTTGAGACTATTATTTTTCCTTGGAGGCTTGAACAATATTGGTAGTTTAAATATTCATAAGCAATTTCTTTTTTTCGTTATAAACTGCATCCCTTGCGGCAAGTTTACAGAGGAAACCATGGATGCTACTCGGCCTTGGACATGCAAATGGCAAAAAAATCAGGATGCAAATACTGAGCTAGCCTGAATAGGGCCTCTTTGGCACAGCTCCAGCTCCACCCCTCCTGGAGTTGGAGCTGTACCAAACAGGCCCTACAAATAGCTCTCGCGCTCAATGTGATCAGGGTTTACAATATTGTTTAGGCATAAAAACCACTCCCTGTTGATTTCGTCAATAACTATTACAACCATGGCAAAATCAGAATAAAATCATCGGGGATCCAATACATACTAATTATCTAATTACTGACTAATATACTAATTAACATGGTATAATTTAGTCAGAATCAGCTAATCTATCCGAGATTTTGTCACCCCGGGGTAGTATAACGTAGGTACACCCTTTACGAGTGGTTATCGGCGAAAACCGATGCATTTTGAACAAATTTTAGTTTGAATTTTGTTTCGAGTGGCTCTTATATAAAGGCAGTGCGGCTCGCACTAACCAAGTGGTTATAATCGATATTGTAAAGGGTGTGAATGTGTGATTATACCGTCATCTTAATATAGCATGATTTTTTTTCTTTTGCTGACTAATAGGTCTAACGCTCCTAGAATAAAAAAGCATCAAATGGTGTGTACAATTAGAATATGCCGTGTGTTTAACACCATCAACAACTAACGATGGGAAAGTTCCAACCAAATGTACGACGTATAGACGTACTGATGATGATGCTGGTAGGTCAACGGTCATGGCCAGCCTCGTCGCCAGAGGAACACATAATCCGGGAAGCAGATCCAAGATCAGTGACATGGCCATGGACATGGAGCCATAGTAGTGTCGTTATGAATCTCTGATCATTATGGTCATGATCTTCAGATGCCATCATGCATCTCAACAATTTCAGTTATATATACAAGCTACTTTTGTTATGAAAGAAAATGATCGAACGTTCGCCGAGTGGAGAATGTTGTTGCAGAAAAACCGCTCTGTTTCGGGTGATATTCATACGAAAATACTAGTATTAACGAATATCTGCTCCGAATGTTTCACCCGGGGTTAAAATTTGCTACTCCAAGTCTCCAATAACTATGTTCTCTGATAACAAAATTTGGGGTCGATGTGGATTAATTTCCTACCAAAATTTGACCTACTAAAATTTGGGTAAGGTAGCAGACTATGCACCTCTATCAAAAAAAAAACCACCTTTGTCATAATTTTGGGTTTACCCATAAACTTATGTCTTATGGGTATATTTTGGCAACAATCCAAATCAATATTTTCAACTCTACTCTACCAAAACTTTGATAGTTAAAACTTGTCCAAGATTTTGAATCCAAATAGCCTCTTGATGACCAATCACCATTAGTAGCCCTCTGGATTCCTTGGCAGGCTATTCTGTTCTATTTTGACGCGAGCTTGCAGCGGCACAAGTTAGCCAGCCGAGGGAAACGTGCGAAAACTACACACGAGCAACACCATCAGCCACTAAAAATAACAGTACTACTATTACTGTATACTCCATATTACATACTTCCCATTTTCAAAGTAAACTAACCTAGAATTAGATAAAATATTATCTAGTTCATTAATCTAGACATGTAATATTTATTTTCTAGACGTGTACTATTTATGTCTAATCTTATCATAGGTTTATTTATTTTAGAACAAACAAAATACTCCCTCCGTTTCAAAATATTTGACACCGTTGACTTTTAGCACGTGTTTGACCGTTCGTCTTATTAAAAAAAATTTATAAAATATGTAAAACTATATGTGTACATGAAAGTACATTTAACAATGAATCAAATGATATGAAAAGAATAAATAATTACTTAAATTTTTTGAATAAGATGAATGGTCAAACACGTACTAAAAAGTCAACGGTGTCAAACATTTTGAAACGGATGGAGTAGATTCTTTCTCAACATCGCACGATCACATTGACATACCTGTTGATTAAGTGGGAACCGTGAGATCTAGACTAATACCTACTCTTATACCTGGATCCACCTTATAACTCAAAGAGGTACTTCCTCCGTCTCACAATACTTCTCTTTCTAGGTTGTTTAGCACAAATTAAGGTTTGAGAAGTAAAAACTATATTGCCCCTTATTTGAATAGAAGCAAGAGAGTGGAGAGGATAGAATGGGCAAACATTTGAATTGGAGGTAATTGATGTAACAGGTAATACTACCAAGTGACAAAGTATTATAGGATAAAATTTAATAAAAAAACAACTATTTTGGGACGGAGAGAGTATTATACATCGAGGGTGCCATAAGAGCAGGTACAATAGCAAGCTATTAGTCAGCTATAAACATATTTTAATAAAATAAAAGATGAGAGAGAAGAGCAGCGGACTATAGATCTGTAGCCAGCTGCAGCACGGACTCCAAGACGCAGTGTACGTATGATAGGTGGGACTATATATTAATAATATAGTAAGCAACTATTGTATGAATTGGCTATTAGATTAGCTATAGATGAACTGGTGGAGCTAGTAGTGGACTGTACTACTCCCTCCATCCCTAAATGTTTAACACCGTTGACTTTTTTAAAAATGTTTGACCGTTTGTCTTATTAAAAACTTTTGTAAAATATGTAAAACTATATGTATACATAAAATATGAACTATATGTATACGTAAAAGTATATTTAACAATAAATTAAATGATAGAAAAAGAATTAATAATTACTTAAATTTTTTAATAAGACGACCAGTTAAATATATTTAAAAAATTCGATGGTGTCAAACTTTTATGGATGGAGCGAGTATTAAACTTGCTCTAAGTCGCACAGAGTGAGATGAACACAAACACAGCTACATTAGACGGCGGTGGCGACGCCGGCGACGGTCCACCCGGCGGCGGCGGCGACGTCGGTGCCCTGCGGACGGCGGTGCGGCGGCAGGAACCTGAAGAGGCGGCCGTTGGACGGAGCGGCCGGCATCTCTCCGCTCTGCCTTTGGTCAGTGTGCCCAAAGCTCAGACTCACTGGACGAGAGAGCACAAGAAATGCTTGCAACACAGACAACGCTTGGAGAGCTCAGCTGTTGTGTTGGGATTGGGACTTTTAACATGCGAGACTATCGAGAGCTTCTCATCCTCTCCAGCGTCTTCTTCCGTCGTGTAAGGTTACTGCTTCGAATCTTCTCTAGGATAAGCTTGACGCATATGCTATACCAAAAGGTTGACGTGTCGTGACATCTTCTCACCCCACGAGTCCACAATAGATTGCTCTATAACTTACTCCCTCAGTCTAAAAAAACCAAGACCTGGTTTAGTTTCCAACTTTTTCTTTAAACTTTCAACTTTTCTATCTCATCAAAACTTTCCTATACACATAAATTTTCAACTTTTCCGTCACATCGTTTCAATTTCAATCAAACTTCTAATTTTGACGTAAACTAAACACACCCCAACTTAAACTTAGAAGGGGTCCCTCCTAGTACAACGAATCTGGATAACCTAGGAGAGGTCACGTGCCTTCCTAGGTTGGCTTTTTTTTTTTGGACGGAGGGAGTACGGAGTCCCTCTTAGTGTAATATCTCAGTATCTCTACTTCATTAACCTTCCCAGTAAAAAAACATACTGAGGATTGGTAATTTGAAATTTCATTGAGAATAGCTTCTGCAGCTTCATGCATGTTACAGTTCCGAAAAACAATCAGAAAGTCACTATAGAAACTAAGCAATGCAAACTCAGACAGTCATACAAATATGTTCCATCCAAACCGATATCTCGGTGCCTCTTTAGCTCAGCGCATAATTATTCATGAAACTGCTGCAACTCATAAGAGTAACTGCTGTTTTTACAATTAGAACCAGATGGAACAAACAACGGTGCTACCGAAAAACAACTTCAAGCTTTATCGTAAGGCTACATAAGGGACCAAGACATAATCTGGAAGACTACAAGAAAGGTGCAAAAGAAGACGCGGCTGATACAAAAGGATCCCTCGCTTCGTCAGCAAAACGTCAATCAATCAGAAGTGGTAATGGAACAAGTTTCAGTTACCCAGTTTGAGTTAGACTGAGCTCGACAACTGTTTGGGCTCTTCAGCTGTGTGATTAGCTTCCAGCCTTTTTGGACTTCTTCCTTTATCAGGGCCGCCAATAACTCCCCATGTCTCAAACTGTCTCTGCCGTGCCCTTGCCCTTTCCTTCTCCTCCTCGGATTTGGTTGCAAAGCAATATGGACATGATACACCATACTCCCACTCAGGAGATTCCATGTCTTCATCACTAACTGGTTTCTTACATCCATAACAAAGTTTGTGGGTTCCTTGGGCTAATCCGTGCTCCACTGAGACACGTTTGTCAAACACAAAGCATTCACCCTCCCACAAGCTTTCTGCCTTGGGGATTTCCTCTAGGTACTTCAATATCCCACCCTCCAAGTGATAAACCTGACATGAGCAGCTTATTAAACCTACTAAGTATATATTACCAATTAACCATGTCAAGGACAATTTCAGAAACCATAGTGTGTGTGTGTGGGAGAGAGAGAGAGAGAGAGAGAGAGAACTGTTGATAGCAAAAATTTGATGCATTAAACATCTATCACATATTAAGGTAATCTTTTTTAACATTACCTATATTTTCACTATGACCTAAGCTAGGGGAGAATCTAGTGATGAAGCACAATTAGTGCACACAAGGGCAAAGTGTCTCGCTTTAAGAATTTTTCATTATTTTCATTGTTGATTTGATATCCAAACCTAAAATTTTGTACTATATATCTAGCCCCATAACATGATACTATTGTGGTGAGGACATTGATCACAAGAAACTGCACTCAATGCAAGAGTCAACTGAGGGGAAATTGATTTTCAAGAATGTAGTAAATGATAACACATCTATTTATTTGATGAATTCAAAGAATGGGATACTCCTAAAAATCTTGATATGGAATTAATCGGAACAATATAACACAGAAAAGCCTTCATGATTTACCTCTTTAAAGCCCTTGCTAAGGAGGAAACTTGATGCCTTTTCACATCTTATGCCACCAGTGCAATACATAGCAACTCGTGGTAACTCTTTGGGTTTGCTTGAATTCACATCTTCCGACTGTCTGCCAATTGTATTGTCATTATTTTCTGAGCACAGTTGACTGTCAGATTCAGCCAATTGAAACTGATCATCAACCCAAGATGGGAACTCTCTGAATGAGTTCGTACATGGATCAACAGCTCTCTTAAATTTTCCTATGCGTATCTCATACATGTTGCGCACATCAATAACAACCTGCCACATGGATAATGTAAATGAACCATGCAGACATGGAACAAAATTCATTACTGGAATTGAATTAAACACATACGAGTGGGACACATAAATCTCTGCAATGAGTGAAACACTCACAGTATCTGGGTCACTTATCAATGCATTCCAGTCTTTTGGCTTAACATATTTTCCAACTGTTTTAGTTGGCATGACACCGGGATCTCCAAGTGCGACTATCTGATAAATGGCCAACAAAGCAGAACAAGCAGAATAATCAGACAATTGAAAAATCCAGTAACTGTCATGCATTCTAAACCAACTTACCTCCTTTTTCAATTTCACACGGACATGATCCCACCGGAAGGGTGCATCTTCCCCAGCACCAACAGGAGATTGACTGGTATGTCCATGATGGATAGCCTCGTCTTCCGGAGTAACAGGAGACTGGATCATCCGTAACCCTTTCAAGCGGTCGTCTGATTGAATGAAGTTCAAGACTTTCTCCACAGCTTCTGGTGTTCCACATATACTACCATTGATCCCTTCCGGCGCAAGGATAATACCACCTGAAACACGCTGAACAGCATCAGCCAGCCCAACATGTGAGAGTTGGATTTCACAAAACAGTCAATACATAAACCGCATTAGTCAACTCCATCACGGTGTGAACAGCACCATTCAGTACTGTCACTAAGCACAGCAAATTTGGAAGTTGAAAATTTGTGACAAGTCAACAATAGCATCGAGTAAAACGGTTCATCCACACATAGCATTGCAACTTAGCACCTGAATGAATCGAAATCTGCTAAGCAATCCACGAATTAAAGAATATAAGCAATCATTTCACATCCACCATAAGCAGTCATTTGCTAAGCAATGCATGAACTAAAGAATAAGCAACCGTATCACATCCTCCATAAGCTTTAAAGCTTATCCAATAATAAATGTGTATCCACTACACTGGATGAAGTGATTGTTAAGCCTTATCCGTGGCTAACTGGATGATGAAGCGCTCACCAACTCCTCGCAGAGCTCCTTGAGCGGCCACCGCAGCTCGGCGTGGTCGGGGAAGTCGGCGAACCTGTAGAAGGAGACCACCACCAGCTCCGAATCACCAGCATCCAGTGTAGCCCCATCCCCACCGGCGGCGGCCGCGGCGAAGCCCCTGCCGTGCGGCGGCGGGGGAGCGCGCGGGCCCTCCAGCTGCGGCATGAGGCGGACGCGACGGCAGAGCACAGGAGGTGGCCCCGGTACCAGCGAGGCGACAGCGGGGAGGACGAGGAGGCGGCGGCGGCTGCGCGCGGCGACCGTGGCGGCGCGGCGGGCGGCGGCGGCGGCGGCGGCTTTGGAGAGCGCGGCGAGTGGTGGGGAGGGCAGCATTTGGGCTTGGGGGGATGTAGGGGGACAGGTCAAGTTTGCGAGAGCCTTTGCTTTATCTGTGATTTTGGGCCTTGCGAGCTGTGGGCTTTAGGCCGGCCTAGTAAGGTTTGGAGTCGCATCTGATATTGGGCTTTAGGTCGGCCTTAGAGCAGCTCCAATGTAAAGACAAAATCGAACCTTGGACAGAAGAATCGAACAGAGTACACTGTGAGACTCGAACCATATGTGTCAGTGAAAAAATCGACTACTACAAAGGAGTCGAACATAACCGAATAAAAAAAAGTTTTCACTGAGTTACGTGAGAGAGGCGGACCAGAATGAGGTTGAGATTTTCTTTAGATGCGGGTCCCACTGGGTCCCACATATCGATTACTACACTGCAAAGATCGAATCGAAATTTCGTTCGATCATGCGTTTCACGCGTCGACCTTATACACTACAGATGCTCTTAGGAGGACGATGGAGGATGGTGGACGGATATGCATACTGTATTTTTTTATTTTTATATTTATTTTTTAAAAATTCCTGTTTCAAAATTTTACAAAACTATACTTCTCCCACCCTCACCTTGGACGATGCATATAAATCGCCATAGGGGAGTGTGGGGAATGTGACGTTGCAGGCAAGGAGAGGGGCGCGCCGCGGTCTTTTGGTATGCGGCCGGCAATTTTATCGCCAGGAGGAAGCCGCCTGTAAAATATGCACGACCGGCATCTCCCCAGCCTACCATGTTATATAAATTGTCTTAGGGGAGCGTGATTTATATTCCTTGCCCACCCCTAGGGTGATCTATTCTTTGTAGTTGTTTTTTTAATTAAAATGTTTGAATTAATGGGGTATTATTTATTATTTTTATTGGAATTGTTGGTTTCATCTCTTTGCCGCAATTTCTTTGCCCTTGTAAGACAGCACCGGTTGACGTTGCTACAAGACTGAATGCTAGTTAGAGGAAGAGCACTGGCAGATGGCGAAGAAATTGTTGTTTCCGAAGAATCGGGCTTGAGCTTGTTTACGGACCTCTTATATGTCGTTCATGCACGTACTGCAACTTCGCGCTCCTTCATATACTCTGTTTGCGTTTCAGCTTCAGGTTACTTTTCTGCCATCATATGTTGGATTGATCGGGCCTGCTCACTTTGATGCCATTTTCAACCATACCATCTTTTGGCAAAGTTGCCCAAAAAAAATAACTACGTTTAGTTTGTTGCCAAATTTGCTAAATACATAATAAATTCTGCCAAAATTTTGGTAATATTGACATCTTGTCAAAAGTTTATTTTGGCTACAATCTGAACAGGCCCATCATATCTATCCACAAAGTGAATCCACACCTCCTTAACTGTCCTGAGGAATAAATCTATTTAGTGAATAGGATAGGTATACTAAGCAAACACGAGCGCAAAATGGAAATAAGTAATTCATTTTTAAAAATATCATTGAAAAAGTAGTTTAAAAAATCATATAAATTAATTTTAAAATTTTATAACTAACACTTAATTAATAATACGCTAATAAGTCATCTCGTTTTACGATGGGAGATAAGTTCCCAAGTTTTCAGACTCTTTGCAACCAATCACTACACTGGCCAAGGTCACCTGTGACGGTCCCAAACCCTCACCTTTAACGGCTTTGAGCATGGTCAGTGATCAGTGGTCACTGGTGAGTCCAGTCACCTTTGACGGATGGCCGACCATCACAAGTGACACCCACCTCTGACGGACAAGTTACTAGAAGACCATCAGAGGTGTTGGTCTCCGCTAGCCTAGGGCCAGTTAGGACTCTCACAAGTGACTCATCTCTGACGGCCCTTTAAATAAAGGCCGTCAGAGGTGATGGTCTCCGTATATAGAAGTTGCCACAGGTGATTTACCTGTGACGGGCCCGAAAGTAAAGGCCCGTCATAGGTCACCTCTAACGTGCCTTTATTTGTTCTATATTAATATAGAACAAAATATTGCCAAACTGCTATGCTCGTGATAATGTGCACCAAAATAAAGATGATAAATCTGCTTAATTACATGACTAAGAGCAAGTACAATAGCGGACTATAAGCCAACTATAAACACATATGAGGAGATGAAAGAAGAGAAATGTGAGCAGTGGGCTACACATTTGTAACAGATCAGCTGTAGCACGGACTTTACGTAATATGTATACGTATGACAAGTGAGACAAGATATTAATAGTGTAGTATATATATTTATAGGTAACTATTGTATAAATTAGCTATTAAATTGACTATATATGATTTGGAGCTACTACCTAGTTGGCTATACTAACTCTAACAGCAGCACCGGCCTAGGATCGCCGGATTATCAACAGTAACAACCTTTTTTACGTAAAATAACAGAATTATTACAGAACTACAAAAATAATTAGAAATTTTGGGTCAGCAGGTGAGTCATAGTAGTTTTTACTAATACTATCGGGATTTCAAATATTTTAGCACACTACTAAAAACCAATTTTTATACTGTCAAAACTCATTTTCCATGGGATTGGGCTACCCGTCTGTCCAAAAGTGTGCTAAAATTGCTATTTTTCCATATGGGTATTTATGTCGTCCGCACACAAAATAAAATTTGTGAAAACAAAATAAAATTCCAAAAACCCATGCACCGCCGTTCGTCGTTGCCGCCACCGTCGATGTCGCCAAAGCCCGGTAGTAGCTCCTCATCATCATCGCCACAGTCTGTTGCTGCGCGCAAGGGGAGCTGGATCCACCGCCGCCGCGCTCCCCACCGCTGGATCCGCCGCCGTCGCTTTCCCCGTCGTTGGATCCGCCGCCGCCGTGCCTCCCCATCACCGAATCTGTTGCTGCTGCACCTCCCCCACCGCCGCACCTCTCGACTGCCACTCTTGCTCCCGTATCACCGTCGTTCCCCATCATGAGAATGAGATATAAAAATTTTGAAGATGCTAAGAAAGACAAACAAAAGGAAGATCAGACTTGTAGGCGAGTCTTTAATAGCCGCATTTTCACAGGTCTCTTATGCAACCGCATAAGAAAACATATTTTTTCATGTGGCTCTTGAACTGCTATAAAAATAATTTTACAGGCGGAGTAGTTATGACCCACCTATATAGTGGCAGTCTGATAGCAAAATCAGATTTAGGCCTTGTTTAGTTGGGGAAAATTTTTGGGTTTGGTTGTCACATCGGATATACGGACACATATTTTAAGTATTAAACGTAGTCTAATAACAAATTATAGATTCCGCAATGAAACTGCGAGACACATTTATTAAGCCTAATTAATCCGTCATTAGCAAATGTTTACTATATCACCACATTGTCAAATCATGGCACAATTAGATTTAAAAGATTTGTCTCGCAATTTATACGCAATCTGTCTAATTGATTTTTTTTCTATATTTAATACTCTATACATATATCCAAATATTCAATATGGCAACTTGAAAAGTTATGTTTCGGGAACTAAACAGGGCCTACCATGTCGAGATTGGTAAAATCAAACTTCGGCATCGTTGTGTTAATTAAGAAAGGACAAAAGTTTCAGATACGATTTTGCTATATATTCGTCGACAAATTTTCTCCCAAAAATTTAACAGATGTAATTATAGTATAATCGTAGTGTAATTACACTGTAACTTGCATGTAATTACACTGTAACTATAGTGTAACTTGTATATAACTTTCAAAAATCTCTCTGTAATATGTTATTTCGGTAAAATAGAGGTTGTGGGAACAAATTCTTACACATGTGTGTGCTGTGATTTTTTTTCTCCCTCACCAAAACAAATCTTGTAATAGATTTAACGATTCAAAATTACGTGAAACTTTTATACAAGTTACACTGTAGTTACATGCAAGTTACAGTGTAATTACACTATAATTGTATTATAATTATATCTGTCAAATTTTTAGAACAAAATTTGTCGCCAAATGTATAAGTGGTCCCTTTGGGATACAATGATTAGAGCTTGCAGGTACTTGAGCTCTCTGGGGAGTAGCTTGGCCTACTTCATCCAGAAATCGATCCATTGTGGAGGCCGATGTTATCTGGGCCCATATGACTGCGGACACGTGCGAGCCACAGCGTTGTATGATTGGCCTGACGGAAAGAACGGCATGTACAGTAAAGTCGTAGCCAAATGGCGAATCTTTCTACAGTTATGGCACAACATTTAGCAGAGGATTAGGCACGTGAAGCTATATGTTTTTTTTTTTCGAAAGCGGAAGAACAGGATTACATTGTACCCAAATCCTCTTCTCTTGCTTGTCACACAAAAAAGGTTAAGACCCCCAGCTCATAATCAAGAACCACATTACTACGTACTAATCGTGTTGTTACTTGCTAGCATGTCTGCAGCTTAAAGCTGAGACGACACATCAACAAGGAATTTACAAACTAATCTAGCCAGGCTAATTAGGAGTATCTTTGCAAGTTCCAAATTAAGATCCGCGCTGCCGCTAATTATTTCTGTACACACGCGTGGAATCCATCTTCTTTCGATCGTTTTACCCGGCCCGTGTCCATCCATGATTCTTCGGTGATCAAAAGCTCAAACCCATAATGTCGTCCAGATCGAAGACAACCTCGTCGTTCTTGAAGAACTCCATGCCGGCGACGGCGTCGTAGCTCCAGTGCAGGGAGGACGTGACATCGCCCTGGTCCGGCCCGAAGGGACCCGCGACTCCGCCGCCGCCGCCGCCGCCGCGCGCCGCGGAGCTGCCGGGCGTGAGGCTGCTCAGCACCTCCTCCTGGTCGGACGAGCCGACGCCGCCCTCCACCTTGAGCGGCTGCAGCAGCGGGCCCGGCGCGGTGACCGTGGTGATCGTGCTGGTCGTCGGCGCCGCGGCAGCGTCTACTGGCGCCGCCGGCGCGGCGACGAAGCTGATGAGGCGGGACCCCGCTTGGAGGCCGCCGCAGCCGTCGTCGTTGTCGCCGGCGGCGACCTGGTGGATGACGTGCGCCGCGATGATGGGGGCGGTGGCCGGGTCCCGGCAGGTGTGCTCGCCGATGTAGGTGACCCTGTAGCTCGCCGGGTCGTCGTCGCAGCGCTGCACCTGCCGCTGCGCCGTGCACAGCTGGTCGTACTTGTGCGTGCACCGGAAGTAGGCCCTGTACACGTAGCATACCCCAAACAACTCCTCGTCAGCGCGCAACGCATCCAACTGTACAGTCTCGAACACATTGTTTTTTGTCGGGACAAGTCTACTCACTTTGGGTGCTTGGAGTTTTGGATCTCCTTCTGCCCGTACTTGCGCCATGCCTGGCCGTCGTCGAGGTTCTTGACGACCACCGAATTCCCGGACGATTGCTGCGTCCTGCAATACGTACACACAAATCTTAGTACATTAAGGTATCGTTCGTTTAGGGGTGATAGGGAAGGTATCGTTCGTTTAGGGGTGATAGGGGAGATTGGCTCTCGTTTTCCGCGCGCACGCTTTTCAAACTATTAAACGGTACGTTTTTTGCAAAAAATTTCTATAGGAAAGTTGCTTTAAAAAATCATATTAATCTATTTTTAAAATTTAAAATAGTTAATACTCAATTAATCATGAGCTAATGGCTCACCTCGTTTTACGTATCTTCCCAATCTCCTCAATCCCCTTCTCAAACACTCCCAGGCTGTGTTTGAGGAGAAGGAAATAGAGAAGATTGGGAATATACGCAAAACGAGGTGAACCATTAGCGCATGATTTTATGATTTTGAAACTTCAAAAATGGATTAATATGATTTTTTAAAGCAACTTTCCTATAGAAAATTTATACGAAAAACGCACCGTATAGTAGTTTGAAAAGCGTGCGCGCGGAAAACGAGGGACAATCCCCCCTATCTTCCCTGAAAGAACGCAGCTAATTACACACAGATGATGCTATGCTTTGTGATGAGCTATGCTCTGGCCTTCGTTCTCACCTCCTGCGGCAGTTGGCCTTCCGGTCGGCGGCGGGGGCTTTCCTCTTCCCGCCGGCGCTGGCCCCGCCCCCGCAGGTGACCTCGCTCTGCACCTCCGACCCTTCTCCTCCGGCGGCGGAGACCGCCGCCTTGTCGAGCGCCCGCATCGCCCGGGAGAAGGTGTGGAGAATCTGGTCGACGAAGCGGCCGGCCTCCGGCGAGTCGCGGAGGAGCCCCTGCAGCTGCGCCGCCAGCTCCTTCCCCTTCTCCATGTCCTCCATCACCTGCGCGTACGCCGGCGCCGGCGCCGGCGACATCGATGACGTCATCCTCAATCCAAGCAAGCAAGCGCACACCCAGTGACTGACACTACACTGCCGCTGCCGCGCACTCTCGCACTCTCTCTTCCTCGCAGCTCAGCTGGTGATGGAGCTCAAAGCAGCAGGAGGCTTGGGGTGGAGGCAGGTCGGTATTTATGGCTACTCTGCTCACCTGGAGCGGATTGATCCGTCTCCATTTCTGTAGCCGAAGGAGATGATGCGTAGGCGCGGTCTACCGTCGATGACGCGTACCGTGTCAATGCCAGGTGGGACCGTGCGGCTACGCCCAGTGAGCGGCTCACGAGGGGTTTCCATGGACTGGGGCGCTCGCTGCGTGGGCGATGGGAAAAAGGGACGCGGCTCGGCACCACGCGAGAACCATAGACCCGGTTCACCGAATTGTGGCGGCCCACGCGGTGACTCGCGGTGAACGGCGCAGTTGAACCTCATGAACCGAGCGTACCCAATCCCCCATGCCGGTGTGAATGCACGAGGTGAGTGGGCCAGCGGGGGGGGGGGGGGGGCGGGGGCTTCACACCCGGCCCACGCCACAGTGGACGTAGCCCACCGCGGAAACCACGGGAGAGATCACACGGACATGTGGGCCAGTCCTGGAGGGGGTGGCCCGGCGCTCAGTGGACCGCGGTACGAGGAATTCGGGGGAGTTTTGGTGGTGGGGGCCACGAGAGATTATTTTAAAAAAATAAAAAAACTTGAGTTGCAAGTTCCTTCGTTGGGTGGGCATGTGGGAGTACGGGCAAGGGGGGAAGCATCGCCGAAGGAGAGGGGGGACGAGGGGACGACAACCGGATGACGTCACGGGGGCGACGTCAGCGAGGTGATCGATGCCGGGTTGGGGGGCAAATGAGGATGAGGAGGTGGTGGTGTGGTGGTGTGCGTCCGCGTCATTTGTGGAAATTTTTATGCAGCCGGATGGGTTGGACGGCGGAGGGAGGGGAGGGAATCGTTTGATCGGATTCCCTGGTGGAACGTGCGTGTGTGACAACCAACAGTTGAGAAATCATTGGAGTAGAAAACTGGTACTATAAAATTTAAACTTCGGAATCAGATGGCCTTTGCCTCCTTGATGTCCTCCTAAGGGCTTTTACAGTGGGCAGAGATGTAAGTTCAGCCTTAACAAAGCCGGGTCGGACATTCCATGCCATGTCTGCTGTTCTTGTTGTCCCCATGAAGATCGTGGAGCCAAGTTAAACCACAAGTTCTTTGTCAAATTTTAAAGGACTGGCCCACGCTCGTGCCCTGTGCCGCTAGAGAAGGGAGAGGGAGAAGAACTCGTCGGCCATGGGAGGGTGACCAGGCGCCGTGCTTGTGGAGCTCTTGGGTTGTGCCGGCGACGGCGATAGCTACGGACAAAGAGGGGCGCGAGCTTGACGGGGTGGCGGTGTCCACTACCCATCCGCCGCAACAGCTCGGCGGCGGCCGCCTTGAGCCCTCGGCCTATCTATAGCTCGTGGTCACCGTCTTGTGGATCTAGTTGTCACTGTTGAGTGGTGAAGAAGAGGAGGGGAGAGGGATGCTGGTGGGAAGGGGAGGTGGTGTACGGGGAGCTTGCTTTCGGTTAAATTGTCCTGCTAGATTATATTATCTAAGGCATCTACCATCCTGAAAAATGTATAATTGCTTGATTATTTAGACTGCATTGTTTCTCTTCATACTTTGAGATGTATCATCCCTAGTTGTGCTTAGAACCATGCAAACTAGCCTGCAATTAGGCATAATAAGGATAGTATCGAGGTTTGAGCTGATCTTACATAATATGCATGTTTCGTTCTTGTTTCATGTATATTCGCCACTTATATAGACATATCATTTTATATAAGCATATGAAGCTTTAGTCAGTATCGGCAAGATTTGTACACCTTCATGCTTGATTTCTGTTTTATATGTTTATATGGATCAATCTGTTTATATAAGTTTTTACTAGAGTGTTTATATAAGTTTGTACTAGAGTATTAGCTAGTACGTTATCTTTCTTGCTCTAAATACTGTCACATCGGCTACTTTCATAATATTGTCTTAAATCAATATGTTAAACTCCATAGATAGTATTACAGCCGATTGGGCATGTTTAGGGTTTATTATTCTTTGATATATCCAGTCCATAGCTGATTTGGTCTAACTCCATCGGCCGAGACCATCAACGATGCACTATCGGCCTATCGGCCGATCGGCTATCGGTCGACTGATATGCTTTTATTCTTTCTTGCTGATTGCAGGATTAAATCAGCTAGCACGCCCTTGACACACTCGACACTAGCTTTGGACCTGCACTAGAGTTAAGCATATCTCCCAGGCCGTCGTGTTTTCACACCAACAAGTAGCCCAGTCGTCGTTGTCGCGGTAGCCATCATCGTCGTCATGGCAGCCGCCGCTGGATCCACCTCCTTCACCACCGTGGAGGACCGCCCGAGCACCGCTCGCTGCTGGATCTGCCCCAACCCTCTCACCACCTTCGCTGCCCTCCCCGCTAGCCTTCCCCGTCGTCGCGGCAGCAGATCCAGCCACCCCGTCGTCGCGGCGGCGGATCCAGCCACCCCGTCGTCGTGGCTGTTGATATTTCTTAACTTTACAGATAAAATCCGCAAGCGCACGGAAAATACCGATGTAGCACTTCACCCGGGAGTATTCTTAGGTATCGATTTTCCACAGGAAACGTGTGTGTTAACTCCAGATCAGGTTCATCCAAGGACACGAACCTAAGGATAGGCAAGGGATAGAGATGAGTCACCGGTGAGAAACAGTGTCTACAGAAAAGCTTAACTTTCATCCTAACGCAATACTTTGGGCACTGGCCAGCTCGCTGCTCCCAGATATCGCTCTACTACGCACCCGGACAGGGAGGACTTCAGTGATCTTGAGGGCTGTCACCACCTCTACACCCACCTCACACCTACTGTGGGATGCGGAGTAAACACCGGAAATCAACTACCTAGACACCGCGTCTAAGCACTTAATTACTTAATTTAATGTTAGCTACACACTAAAGCAATCACTATATTTTACTGGATTATAGTGAACGATGATCCTGCACGCTGATTAGGAACTAAGAGATAATTCTCACCAAGCAAAACTAAATTACTCAAAAGATATTTCTATTATAATCAGAGTAATTAACAGATAAAAAGAAATAAGAAGAGGATTACCGACAACTCCGGAACTCCTCCGACTTCTTCTACTCTATTCTCTCCCTATTCTAGTATACAGTAAAGTACAATAGAGCATCTTATAATTCAGCTCAAGCTTGGAGTGTCTGTTGAAGTGAGTGAAGTGAAGTCTTTATATAGGGCATGTATGACGGTTATAAAACGCGAAAAGTCCATTCTGCCCTTCAACCGCCATTCAGGAGCTCATCCAGACCGTCCCTACCAAACCTTGAATCGGACGGTGATCACCAGGGTTCGGCCAAACTTGGGCTGGGCCAGGCGGCCTTCAGGCTTGGTCTGGTTCCCCTCCTTAGCCTGCCTTATCCATTCCTTCGAGCAGATGGCCCATTTGATGATGTTTCAATGTAGTTCTTGGCCCACTCATGATATGGACAGGAATTCACCTTTACTTAAGTCTATATTTCATCCAATCTTCGACGGTTTATCACCTACATTCAAATATACACCAACACTTGTGGAATATGTTAGAATTAAACCCTATCACTATGTTGGATGTTTTATTTTCTTGATTTATGCAGGTATTAGCGGCATAGAATTTGCATTTAATAGCCGCTAACAGCGGCGGTGGATCTGGCCACCCCCGTTGTTGCGGCGGCGGATCCGGCCCCGAGCTTGTGGCAGCCAGCGGTGAATAGGAGGAGGTCGCGCCATGCCATTTTGGAAAGGTGGAGACCGCGCACCACCGGTGGGTGGCCGGGGGAGAGGGAGAGGAGGCGTGGGGCAGAGAGGAGGAGAGCCGCCGCCCGCCCGCCCATCACCGCGCCTCTCCGGAGTGCCGCCGCTCACCGAGGAAGCGGATCTTGGAGAGGGAGAAGGGAGGAGGCGGAGAGGTGAAGCAGGTGCCGCGGGTGGAGGAGGCGGAGATGAGAGGGAGAAGGAGCCGAGGAGGAGGAGGAGGAGGAGGAGGCCGCTGGTGGATCGAGAGGAAGGGGAGGAGGATGAGAGACTAAGAGGAAAGTGGCGGTGGATTTTTTTAATCTGATGGGGTTTTTAATATGGCAATGTTTTCACAGTGCAGTGCTCTTAGTGGCCGTCAGCAAAATATCTAATTTTTGTTAGGTGTCACTTAAGAGGACTGCTTGCGAAAATGACATATCTTTGCTGGCGGTTCACGTTACACAACCATTAGCGAAAATAGTCACTTAATAGGACCGCTTGCAAAAATGGCATATCTTCGCTGGCAGTTCATGTTTCACAGCAGCCGGTGAAAATGCATTTTCGCTGACGGTTCTTAGCCTCCACCCCTCGTTACATTTTTGCTAGCGGCGCTATCGTCTGGCTGCCAGTGAAAAAAAAAAGGTGCCACCTTGAAAAACCTTTTTTTTAGTTGTGGCACCGGCATGATTTCATCTTCCTTCTTTGTTTTAGTTTCTATTTGATTCATTGTAGTTTGTGTGTTCGAATGGAATTGCTATGAAGTGTGTATATGAACTGCAAGTTCTTTTGATCCTGTCCTGTGTGTGTGATCGCTAAAGAAATGTGTATGTATGGAACTAAATTGTTGTCGATTACCTCGGGAAAAAAATGTTGTCGATTAACGATAAAAAAAATGTCATATAAATCAAATTATATTTTCTTTTTTCCTTTAAATGAGTATCAATGGCGGTTTATGGTTATCCTGCATACACTGTATATATAAATGTCACCGAACAAAATCGAATGTTTTGACCATGATGCTTATCCAAAACGACAGTGTTCATCAACAGATCATCATCAGAACGGTGAATTCCTCTTACTTTTTTTTTTTTGCCTAAAAGAGTAGGTTACGTTGTTGTACGGGATCAGAGAACTCCGGCCTCTTTATTCTTTGCGTATGCAACAATTTTGGATGGGCATGTGCGTGAATGAGGCGAATTTTGAGCTTTGGGAGAGAGGAAGTAGATAGGATCATAGAAAACGAGACAGGTTGACGATCTCTTTCGGAGTCCACAAAAGTGCTGAAGACAAATGATCCG